TCCGAAAGACTTAAACTACTCGAAGAGTGCTCTTGCCTGCGCGCCGTGCGACACCCCGGTGTACGCCGTGCCTACCCCGTAAGGGATACAGGCGTGATACCAACCTTCTTACAAGCATTCAGCCCCTGCTGGCCAATCAGCATGTATATCTTCTCACTCATATGCAACTCGAAGAGTGCTCTTGCCTGCGCGCCGTGCGACACCCCGGTGTACGCCGTGCCTACCCCGTAAGGGATACAGGCGTGATATATGTATACATATTGCCCCTGGGTAAATAGTCAGTACGGGACCCTTTTGGAAAGTAAAGAAAGCGAATAATGATCTATCCACCCATGCCAAAGCCGCTCAAATTTTTAGGTCTACCAGCGAACAATACCTAGATGTCGCGAGCGGAGCGAGCTCGACATTATAGTCTAAAAGCCTGGAAAATTCAATTAGTAGACGAAGAAAGTCGTATAACGAGCGAAACGAGCTCAACTTTTCACGCTAAATAGCACCAAAAAGTAATAAAGAATGGTATGCGCGACATTGTCAAGAGAGATTGTCGATCGTTCGGGGGCCCATCCCTTATGGGAAAGACGGTAGTGTACTAACCTTCTTACAAGCATTCAGCCCCTGCTGGCCAATCAGCATGTATATCTTCTCACTCATATGCAGCTCGAAGAGTGCTCTTGCCTGCGCGCCGTGCGACACCCCGGTGTACGCCGTGCCTACCCCGCAAGGGATACAGGCGTGATATATATTACATTGTGCAGGCAGCGTGGTCGTCGCCTCGTCAGCAGTAGATGCGTCCAGCGAAGTCAGCATTCTGTGTGCAACGCGGGTTTCATATTTCGTTGTCGCGCTGCTACATATGTATTAATATATACCTTTTTACAAGCATTCAGCCCCTGCTGGCCAATCAGCATGTATATCTTCTCACTCATATGCAACTCGAAGAGTGCTCTTGCCTGCGCGCCGTGCGACACCCCGGTGTACGCCGTGCCTACCCCGTAAGGGATACAGGCGTGATACCAACCTTCTTACAAGCATTCAGCCCCTGCTGGCCAATCAGCATGTATATCTTCTCACTCATATGCAGCTCGAAGAGTGCTCTTGCCTGCGCGCCGTGCGACACCCCGGTGTAAGCCGAGCCCAGACCGCCGGACGCGCCGTTCGCTATGATCCTGGGGAAAAAAAAACACTTTAGAAACCAATGGGAAACTTTCTATTGACAGGTTCTGAGTCAGCGCTTTAATGTCACACTAGAGGGCGTAGTGCTAAGTTAAGAAAAAATTACGTTATACCAACCAATCAGCAAAATTCAATAGACATGGCTAGCGGCAACAAATAGAATAGTATCTATCCAATTCTACCCAGAGAATGGGCAGCAGTGTTCGCAGTAAATCTAACATCTTGCACTGCGCTCGCACATCCGCCTGCCAAACGTGGTGAGTATGGCACTACCCCCCGATAAGGGGAGGCCCATGTCCATCAGTGGACTTTTGTGACTGTTAAGGGGTTGAGGTACTTACTGTAGCTGCGGTGGTGATAATGACAACCATCTGATAAGCGTGGTGACGTTGTATCTTCAGATATAGTAGGTAGTAAAAGAATTCTCGGTGAGTGTTCATAATCCCTACTACCCCTGTATACGCCACTGGGTCATATGATGTCCACTGCTGAACATAGGCATCCCCTAAATATTTCCGATTAAAAGCGGCCTGCATCCAGCATTTGCTTGGTGACTTGACCAGATAGTTTGTCGTTGACCTCGCCGGGGGTACTTACGTGTAAAGTCCTTCGGCGGGCACCTCCCAGACTTGTATCCCTGTGTTGTTGGCCACTTTGACGGACACGATGGTCTGGTTGTACGCCGCATCGCACATGGTCTGGTTCGGCCCGAAGCGGCCGGTCGCGCCGCACGGCGTGAAGCGATAGTCTACGGAGGTTTACACGATATACTTACAATTTTAATTAGAAAAAGGAAGAAGTTCTTAAACCATAGGGACAATTTAGTCCCATTTCATAGTCTTCAAATTAAGATCAGAAGAAGCAGGGCCGGCTTTAACCTTTAAGGGGCCCTGGGCATATTAGGATAATTGGGGCCCCTATAGCAGTGGTGGACACATTTGCTTCAGATAGACTATTTTGCCACCCTTTCAAGAGACTTATGACGTGTTGAAGTGTACGTATAAACAGAATGAATCCTCTATAATTTACGTCTAAACAACTTGAGAACGTAAAACCCCGCGAACGTAGCGAGCGCGTTGTTTTTTTAAATTTAAAATAAACCACAGACAGCTACAATCGCTTCATGAATAGAGAGCTCGACAAGTAATACTGAGAACAAGCAAGGAACACACAAATGAAACACCAACAACTTGTTACAGACATTTTACAGATGGGGGCCCCAATCGGTAAGGGACCCTGGACAAGGGCCAATGTGCCCAATGGATAAGATGGGCATACTAAATAAAGACATACCATACTTTATGATGTCACTATGAAAACAAAAGTTGTTAACTTACAGACAGTACTTTTAAGTATTCATCACAAACTTACAAGTTTTATCAGCGAACGCAGCATGCGGCGTGGTCTTCTCTTCAAAGATCGGATCGTAATAATTATAGTCGCCCAATTCGTCAGGGTCTATATTGAGTCCGAAACACTCGGGGGCCATCGAGAAATCGTCTATAGCCGAGTCTGAGTAGATCCTCATGCCCATCCTGGTTTTGAAGAGGAGGTAGTATCTGGAACAAAATGGTAAACGATTAAGGTATATCTTGTAAGTTCGGTTGCGATCGATCGTTGCGCCGTCTCTTACACCACGTATATTTTGACTGGGCTGTAGGTTTTGTGAGATTTGGGGGGTTAGTGGAGTTAGGATCGGACGAGTAGATTCAGAAGCTTGGCTCTTCTTGAGATCTGATTACTTTATCATAGGGGAAGCCATCTTGCACTTGCCGCGGCAACATTATTTACATGAAAACGACCTGTTTCTGAAGGGATTTGTAAAATTAAAAGTAAGTTGTACAGAGAACCGTTTTAATCGTAAGTTGGTTAAAATAGCCCGTTTCTAATATACCTACCTACCTATGTCGTTCATCTCAGAACAGGACTTCACGTATAAATAGACTTCGGTCGCAGTAGCGAAAATAGACTGGACTCGTAAACATTTTCAATTTATGCATTCTTGCATATATCACGCCTACATCCCTTACGGGGTAGACAGAGCTTACTCGGCTGTAAAAAACGACCATTTACCTACACCATGTCTAACAAAAGTTTGAGAGTCACTCAGAAGAATGTGTAAACTTGCAAAACACATTAACTCTCAAATCCCTAGTCGCTTCGTACGAGACCCACGGAAAAGATATGGGGTGATATTCTAATGCCGGCACCGCACGGCAAATTCTAATTCCGAAACCACACAGGATTCATCAGTTTGCTGTGATGTCCGACGCCACAACAAGGTAATAAGCTCACCTAGGACGGGTCCTTTCGTTTTATTCTTTATTGCAACAATATAATAGATAACAATAAATGAAGTCGCAAAGGCGAGTTTATCTCTAAAGAAGAGATCTCTTCCAGCCAACCCATGTGTCGTAAGAGAATTCAAATTTTTGAGTATGTAAGCAATAACAAAAGGGGAAAAAAAAGTCTGTTACAAATAATATAAAATACTAATCTATTCAATATACTTTACATAAATATTATAAATATACATACATAAATAATCAATACATCAAGGTAGTTGAGAAATAAAGTGCTCTTTTATTCTTTTCTTAAATGTGTGTATAGATAGACGGACTTTCTTGAATAGTCCTAGGTAGGTTATTCCATAGTTGCACAGCTCTCACGGAGAAGGAGTTGAAAAAGAATTCGGTATCCGCACGAGGACACTCCAGCATCTTTGTGATACATCCGTCAATGACAGACGTATTTTCAATTTTAATTTTATATTTTAGTTTTCTTGTTTCTTCAAAGAATATTTTTGATAGTAACTTAACCGTTGAAGTATCCTCAACATGAACTGCAAATTGAAAATCCAAACTGTAGATTCTAGTTACACCACATTTCCGGATGGTATCAAGAGGACGCCCGTGGTTCATGTAGAATAGAATGCTCTCAGTCTGCTGGAGCCTCAATTGACTCTCCCTCGCCCTGTCGTAGTGCCATATTGCTTTATCTTCATTATTTGTTACTTTTTATACATATTATACTTAATTATTAGCGAAATACGAAACAAAAGAGATGTGAAAGTTAGTGGCATTGCCTAAGAATAAGAAGAAGCTCACCTGGAAGTAACGTTGGGCAGGAAGATGGCCGCCCTGTACCAATCCGAGCCCTTGTCCTTGGTGGAGAACCAGAGCGACTTGGTGTTGTTCCCTCTACTCGTCATCTCCACCAGGTCCACACTCAGGGAGCCGTAGTTGCGACCGTTTTGCTGGTAGTAGAACCGTATCTGCGAGAACAGGGTTACATCTTTCAAGATAAAATAATAAATATTGTCTGGAAGAAAAGGCGGGAGACCTTTTGCCCAACAGTGGAAAACTTTAGGCGGAAAAAAGTAACAATATTTTTTTTATTAAAAAGTATGATAACCCGTCGTAAAAGGCGAGAGATAAATTCATCCAGTGAACCGACAACATAACAGCGTTCTTTGTGAATGCAACAACTTGCACTATACTTACCAAAACGTCAAAAAGTGGTGAGTGAGAACCTAGTTACAATATACAGGGTGTACTGACGTAAAAAAAATAAAAATAAATATGTTTCTAGACGTCACTATAATATATGGTATTCCCTGTTGATGTCTAAAGTTAATCTTTGTATAACTAGTCTGCGCGCGATTTGATGGCATTCAAATGCTATACCTACAGGAATATAAAAAATGTCATACATCGACCGGGAATCGAACCCGGGCCGCATGGGTAAACGCGTCACCTCTCTGCCACTGAGCTATCGATGCACCGGTTGATGTATGCCAAATTTTCTCTCTTGATGCTCGTCTCCAAGCGACGATAGCTCAGTGGCAGAGCGGTGGGGCGTTTACCCATGCGGCCCGGGTTCGATTCCCGGTCGATGTATGTCATTTTTTCTATTTCTTATTTTCACTTGTGAGAATAATATAGCACTGTGAGTGCATTACCATCCCAATAAACCTACAGGTATGACATGTGACCCATCAGATCGCGTGCGAATAGTACCTAGCTTTACGTGTTTTGATAATAAAACAGCTAAGTACTTACCATACAGCAATTATAATATTTGGACATAATGTTCCCGTGCACTTTTGGCGGCGGGTTGAACACGACCGTCTTCATGACGGCCGTCGACGCGAAATCCGCCTTCTCCTTGTTAGGCCCAGTCACGTTCATGTTCACGAAGAAGTAGTAGCCGACGCACGCGATGTTGGCAGTGTTGTTCATGTGGGCCGGGGCAAGGGGGGGCAGCATGTCGTGCGGGTACAGGTACAGAGGGGGCCCACAAGTGTGGTCGTAGTCCGGCCCTGTCTTGTCGGTGGGCGTGGGGCCGCTGTGGCGCGACCATTTCAGGATTGGCCTGTTGAGAAGTTGATTAGTGAGAAACAATGTCAGGTAGGTACCTATTAGGAAAACTGTAACCTCTCAATACTCAAGTGTGTAGACAGACTACGACCGAAATGCGGCGACTGAATTCCGTTCCGTCGGTTTTCTGCGTTTTCAGTTGAGAGGACAACCTATAAGCGCCGAAATTACGTACCTACTTACAAATCACGCCCAATTACTTCGTATCGGACTGACATACGGCGGCGGAATTTCGGTGAAATTTTACTAGTGACCGATAGCGAAATGATAAGGAAGAACTTTTCCCAAGGAACATAGGTCGAAATATGAAAAAGAAAATTTGTACCTCCCATACAAAAATGCCGATCAGCTGATTTGAGTTAATAAGGTAGATCCAATTTTTTTTTTTCATATTTCGACCTAAGTTCCTTGGGGAAAGTTGATCCATAACATATCACCAGGCGGTTCTGAGTTTTCGAGTAAAATTTCACCTTATAGGTATTAGGGAGTTACTTTTTCTTAATAATTTACCTAATCATTAGGGTTGCGCTAGCCAATACTTACTTTGTGTCATTAGTAAGTACCTATGTACCTATTAATAAAATTAGTATACAATATAAAATACTTACTGAGGTACGTTTTCGAACCCACAGGCATCCTGCTCGAAATTGCAGTACGAACCGTACGGCATTTTATCTGTAAATAATAAAGTAGGTAAGTAAACGCATTATTAGTATTATTACTAGGTATCTATTTTAATGAGTAAAAAGTATATTTTAATAAGTAAATATTATGAATCACATCAGTTTCAAAAATCAGTGCAGCATCTGTACTCGGGATATCAATGACGCATTTCCTAACAAACTACTAACAAATATTAAAAAGTTAAAATTAGTACTCTGCAGTTAGTAAAATCATCGATAGCTGGCCATTGAATGACTTGGACTGCCCTTTTTTGACATCGATTATTTAGTTCGTGTTTAGTTCATGCATGACATCAAATCAGTAGTGAGTTTTACTAGCAAGAAAAAAAAACGTTTTGGTAGTTAGGAACTGCATTAAATAAAATCATAGACCATAGTACTACCAGTGGCATATGCGAAACGACTGTCTACAATTTCTACAGGTGAAATTCTATGTGCACTGCGTAGTCGATTAGCCTTTATTATCCCATTAATAAACCGGCTACGCAATATACATCGAATTTCGCTTGTAGAATTTGTAGCCTGTAGTTTCGAAAAATCGGGCACAGAACGTTAGTTTAATTTTGTTATCGACTTAACGTGCGTTTGGTTTAACGCCATCTATTGGCGCAAAAAAACCCTTTTAAAATATTTTTGTACAAAAAGGCCTCATAGAGAGCGACCTCTTATAACGGCTGTTTTATTTATATCCTCTTTGGCCCTAGGGAGCTCCAATTGTTGTTGGGTTAGCAATAAATACGCCATATCTTGCTGTGGGTGGGTGTCAGAAAAGGTCAAAAACGGATAAAATGTAGAAAGGACATGTGATGGGAAGCGGCATTTCTACGAATGGATAAGGATCTTTAAATTCAGCGCTAATATTTTCAGGGTGAACCCGGGTGTACCTATCCTACAAATTAAACTTCTTCTTTTCGTGTGGGACATCGAGTCGTTCAACGACCCGGCGACCCATGAACAAATTAAACTTAACAATTTTTATTGATACGGGGTGGACCAAACAGCGAATCTGGAGGCACGCAAAACAGCAACCATTTTGCCGCATTTTCAGGCCTTTAAATTTCGTCTTTTGATTCGTCCACCCTACCCTAATACATATTACATAAGATTGTTTATATTCTTTATCGCGATGTAGATGGCGCTGAGCTAAGTTGAAAAAACGTTTCTTTACACGGAATGTCTGTACCTACCTACCGCTTTATAAATATTAATTATACTATTTTATTATAATAGCAAGACGAATTTATGTTGTAAAAAATCAAATGAATAGTGTAAATAAATAGTTACAAAAACAACAACGTGAAATGGAACGTGACAAAAGCAAAGCATGGTTGCTTTCAGCCATGTTGAATGTTGCTGATTGGTTGGTATAACGTCATATATTCAAATTAGCACTACGCCCTCTGGTTGGACATTTAGGCACTCATATATAACTGTCAATAATATATCTCATTATGATCATCAACCGCCTACAACAGCCCACTGGGCCACTGCTGGGCATAGGTAGGTCTCTTCTTTCTCACGCCAGTTTTTACGGTCTTGTGCCTCCCTCATCCAGTCAGTGATGTAGTTTGGCTTGACCGACTGAACGTTTCACGCACCTAGGCCAATAACAAAGTTTTTCTAACGTGATACATTACCACAATTTTGCCGTTCGTCGGAGCTGTCGTCGCAGTCTCGCACAAGGTCGCAGATTTGTTTCTTCTTGATACACGACTCTTGCTGCAACAAAAAATACAATTCATTACTATCTGGTGCATTTGGGGCGTAGGACACTGGGCATTATAGTTTCCGAAAAGTAAACGACTTAGCACTTTTTTACGCATTACGTTTCCGGGAGGTTGATGCGACTTGGACTTGATAAAATTAAGAGGGGCTTTTCATATAGGTAACACCATTTTTATACACAATGGTACGGCACCGATAGTGCACTTCTTGGGACACCAAGTTATCTAACGACCTGGTGTCAGAGGTTTTCAACCCCTTACTGCAAGTAGCAGGCCTCTGACATGGTTGTGTAATGATAATGACCGCCGTCTAAGTGATCATAGACAGCAACGGACCGATTGCTTCACATGCCTTCCGAAGCAAGAACCATCTTGTTTTTCGGACAATCAGGTGGATTCAGCCTGTAATGTCCTGACCAGACTGGGAATAAATTTACAAAGTGATAAATATCACCTTCGTGAGTGGCCCCACCGGGAATTGATCCCGGTACTTTCTGCGGCGCAGGCGGTTTCACTAACCACAATAACTATTTTCTAGTAAGTAGGTACCTGCATAATCTGACACTTGAACTGCCCCTGCTGGCACTGTCCTTTAGGCAGCACAGGGCTCTCTGGTAGGCACTCCACCATGCGTATGTTATCCAGCGCGATGTACGGCAGAGGCTCAGAAAAGCTGATGTGGTTGTTCGGCTTGGTGATCTCGATCATGATGCGCACTTCCTGCGTCAGCTTGCCGATCACGAAGCGGATCGAATGCCAGCTGAAAATGTAACAATATTTTACAAACTTCTTATCCCGGGGTTTCTTTAGGTAGGTACAGTGCGCGTATCAAGCGTAATAGTTCCATTCCATATTCCATTCCAAAAGTCATTTACGTAGGTATGAGAAGTAACAGGGGTTCAAGTGCAATACTGTTGTCCATAGAGTAACTTATTATTTGTAGGGGCTGTTGTCACTGGAATTTTGATGGACAGAGAGGTTGTGTTCACGGTTGTGCCACCCGTTCATAGCTGGTTGGGCGCACTCTATAGCCTCTAAGGGTTTAACTTATAAATCAGAGATTTATGGGGCTAGTTCCACAGGTGAGACGTAAGACATGAGATATGCGACTTCGAGACGCTTAAAACCGTTTCCGTATAAAATGTATGAAACACTTCGAGCAACGCATCTTCCGTCCCTAGCGTTCCTCCAAGATGAAACAGAAGAGAAAAAAAGCAGGTACTGTGTGAAAAAAAGCTACACATTTGAGACGCGCGTCACATTAATGACGGTTGACTATCACTTATCTGATAGATGTCATCTTACTTCTCATGTCTTCTCTGTGGAGTATGGGCCCAAGCTCGGATGAAAGAAACCCTATGGATCTGAAATAGTTGTCTATAGGAAAAAATGTTATACATATATGATGCGTTTTGACGGTAAACTTATAGCGTGTAACGGAATGACCCTTACAAGCCGAAAGTGGCAAAACGTACTGGTGGTATGGAACATTTGTGTGTGAGTATCACACCGGAAAACGCAAATTTTTGGAAACGAAAAAATAACATTTTTAACCGAGTATGTTAAGGTAGTACAAATTTCATCGTTCCCATCACTAACGAAATTGAGGCCCTCACGATGTCCTCAAAGCCCTCAAACAAAATGTTTAGATGAGCTGTTTTAATTTTATGCTAACCTGGTAGGTCTCAACACAAACTGTCAATAAACAAAGCTCCGAGGCCCTCACGATGTCGTCCTCAAAACTATCAAACAAAATTTTTACAAGTTTTCTTCATTTTATGCTAACCTGGTAGTTCTCAACACAAACTGTCAAAAAATAAATCTCAAATGCCGCGCATTGAAAGTCGCGGACTTTGCGCGGACGTGTTTGTCGTACTTAAGGTACAGATTCGTTCATTGCAGCCTATCACCGCAAATAGTCGACAACATTCGCATAACTCGCATGGTTGAAGTTAGTAGTAATTCAGAGATGTGCTGTGTGCAAGGCTATGTGACAGTGCGGGATGAACAAACAACAACCTTTAGGGTGAAAGTTTGTTCATTACCACAGATCATTGCCGCCGACGACATACGTCCAATGTGCACAGGAAATATGAAATCAGAGATTACGACT